CTGCTCTTACTGATTTTGTAGTCTGTATCAGTCTAGCATCTTTTCGACTTTTATCCTGACCACATCAGCCGCAAACTGCATACACTTTTTCAGATTAGATCCCGCCGAAACGCAAAATCATGGCTGATTTTGCGTTTTGGCGGGATCTGATCTGAAAAAGTGTATGCAGTTTGCGGCTAATGAAACTGTCGGGAGATGATCTGGTATAAGTACTAAGGTGAAGAACTCAGAACAAATATATTTGAAAATGGACGGCAACCCTTTAAAATACGCAATCTAATACAACACCGGATTCAAATTATCTGATTTTACTAGTTTCGAAGAACAAAGCACTGGACTGAATATGTGGATTAAATCAGACACGATCATTAGTTTTTATATGGCTTTAATACCCTCAAAATATTCGATGAGCAAATCAATAAAATGCTAAAATTAGGAATTATAGGACGATTCTGGCGTAACTGCTGATAACAGTGGGCTCAAAATGCCTTCGACGGATTCTGAGATGAAAACAGTTCGACCGTCGCTTCCTTTTATGGCTTTCACTCGAAATGAGCAAAGCACCATCGAGATTGCTCGGTATGCTACCAAATTATAACGTAGCTCTCCAAAAGCGAAATTTTAATTGACTTCTTCGGAGTGTGTAGAAAACGTCGAGAACAGAACTGGACAGATGGATCACAGTACTCTTCTGTGCATGGGAGCGGGAAAAGAAAGCGCAAGGAAGAGCCAGCTTTTTAATCCGTAGAAAAATAGGTTCTCCTTCCTTCACATACTGTTAATTTTGCTCAGCAGTAGTCCAGAAACAATTCGCAATGATTTTCAGCTTCAACATTTTAGATCTTTAAACGGTCGGTTACTCAGCATTTTTGTTGCGTTTGTAAGACAAACTAATCTAATACCTTTAGACAATTTTAATATTCATTCATTCCTTTCCTACAACTAAAATTTGAAGACAAAGGAGGAAGACTATCAAAACTTTCATATAAGTCTAATTTTTCATCGGTGGTAAAAGAAGGCTGAAGTGAGCTACTTTGCAATGAGCAACGAATTTTCAGGAACACCGTGGAAAGAGATGATGTGATAACATTTACTCGACACACTTCTGCAACAGGCCCAGCGAAGCACTCCAGTAACACAGGCCGAAAGATGATTGTTGTAGACGAGAAGCCCCGCTCGAACACAGCATCACTGAGGAATAAGAGTTTATCAAAAATGACAAATCTCACTGTTATGTGCCTACTTTTTAACGCCTATCTTTTGCCTTTCTACCTTCTTCTGCAATTTCGGCAGTCACAATCCTAACTCTTTCTCAAAAAAAAAAAA